TTAGCTAGCTAGTTAGCTAAGATTGGTCTGTGTGATAGCACAATATAAGGAGATATTGCCCAGTGTGGTGCAAACATGGTTTGAAGTGCATTGTTTGGAAACATATGTTGACAGGGCATCCCATTGGTTATAGCTTTTCAACCTTGAACCTCCAAATGCTTTTACTTCATGTGGTGTAAAATATCATGTAAGATAAGTAAATGGATCTATATTTTTAGACTGGACACTAAAATTAGGATTGCAAGTATAGGATACTGACCTTTAGTTGCTGTCAAGCTCATATTTCTATTTGAGAGAGGATGAGGACATTCACCTGACCAAATATATTGTTTAGGTATCAGGACCCTCCACAGTCTTTTTAGGTACCTGATATGTGCCAAGAAAGTAATACCCACACCACCTGCCTGCACCGGTAGCAAGACAGCAAGATGGATCCATAAATTGTACATACTTATGAGCCACCTGTTAGCTGACAGTGACAATACAATAATAAATGAAGCCATGGTGCCCCCCATATTGTGTTTGCACCAATTGCCAATCAATCCTATTTTGCTCTGCTGATTTGCTTCGTCTCAACTTTTACCCCCCCGGTAATGGACAGTCGCATTAGATCACTTCTCCTCTGCTACGGTCAGAACCCTGTCAGACTTCGTGTGATTGGCTGAGCGGCTCCAGAGCTGGCCAATCGCAATGTTAAATGGAGCTGAGCCCGTCGCCAGATGGGATCCTCTGCTGTTACATCATGAACTGTTGAACCCAATCAGCACATGGCCCGCTGAAGTGTGAACAAATGGGGTCACACTGTAATGTGTCAGGTGATACATATTGTGGATCACTCAGGGGGCAAATTGAAGTTTAATACACCTGTGGGGTGATTACTAGGGCATAGACTACAGGGATACGTGTGAACACGTCCCATGCATGATCGCTCGAGGCTCTCATGTAACTATAATGTGCTTAACAGACACAGAGAAGCTGAAATTAACACTTTTATACATCTCTACTGTTTACAGGGCCACTGGCTATCAAGTGTTCTTCGTAGGTTATTTTCTGATAACATAAATGGGATCAAAAACAGCAGGCAGCACACTCGTGTATTTGCTTAGGTGTGAAAATAATCACAACCCCAAGCGCTCCACAAATTTTGCCTGACCCCTGTTCTCGCAGCCCTTTTCATGCCAAGAGCTCGTTGTGTTGGAGTCTGATTCCAAAGAAATACTGAATCAAAATCGCAGTCGAGTTCCGAGCACCGGGTAGATCAGTGCTTAGAGAAAGACCCTCCTTACACTTCCACTCACTATCTTTGCATCAAGCTAGCAAGCAAGCTACCTGTGCGCTACCCACAATGCCATTAATATGCTCAACTCAACTTTCACTTTAAACACAGTGGAAAACAAGAACAAATGAGAATATATGAGTGCTTTTTGTAGCCTAACTTGTACTAACAACTACAAATGTATACAAATTAATCAGCATGGATGATGATTTAATGTCAACTCTTCATATTTTATATTTTTTATTATTATTATTATTATTATTATTATTATTATTATTATTATTATTATTATTATTATATGTATTCATATTTAAGATATTGTTACTCCTGAACATTTCACAAAGTGTCACAATTGTTTTTTCTAGAGTATACGTACAACATTCAGGTCCAGCTGAAATTAACAGCTAAAAACTTCCTCTGCCATGGCTTTGAACACATGAGACATAAAGACAAGTGTAATAATCAGTTGGGATGAAAGTGCTAAAATAAGAATAAACACATATTCTAAAAAAGCACTATTAAACAGCAGTGGTCACTAATACTGTATCTAATAAAATATTGTTATTCACTAAGGAATATGCACCATGCATGAAGAATTCAGAACTTTCCAGCACTTAAAACTTAACTCCATCATTAAAAGTCTATTTGGCCTGTCATTTCAGTCGGAAACACACAGGGAGAAAAGGCTTCTTTTTCTTCTGCATTAAAGTGTAGGATGGAGAGTGACAGATGTATTTTCTAAATTTCATTTTTTTTCAAACATGATACAGCTTCAAGATGGGGATTCTGTCCGTGATCTGGTTACAAAGACGGTGAATGTGTTGTCATTGAAGGCTTTTAGGTTTTTAAAAAAAAAAACATATTGTCAACCGCAGCCATTGAGGACTGCGGCAGCTATTACCGAGTGTGCCAAGGTTAGGTGCTTAAGCCGTTAGCTCAGTGGATTCCACTGCCAACCTTGTGTTGTTATTGCAGAGGGGGCGAAGATGAGAGAGACAGGGGATTAAACTGAACTCCCACGCAGCAGTATTACTCTATTAATCGGCTGTCTTTGTCTATCAAGGTTATAACAAGAGGCTGCTTGGTACATGTCTGTGAGAGAACAGGTGCATTCATGTGTAGGATCCCAGGGTCCTTCGCTTTTTATGTAATTCTGCTTTTAACACTATTTCCTTGTTAGTTCGTATTTATTCTTCCTTTTTATATTTTTCATCCCCACATTTATTCCCATCTTTACAGAAGCCCTGAGAGGCAAGTAAGAAAAACATTTTGGTGATTCATTTTCTAAGCCTGGTGGTGTAATACTACTTTTGGCCACAAGAGGCCAATTTAGAACACGTGGTGCACTTCAGCTTCTTGTGGCTGAAATAAGTATTACAACAACAAAAACTTACTTTTTCACTCACAGGTGAAAAAGAATAACTTTGAATAATGATCCTCCTGATCCTGTTTTTTTTTTTTAAAACCTGGAATAAAAAAACTTTTATTTCCACCTGATTTACAGATGAAAAAAAGGAACTTAGAAAGATTATTTTGACAAAACTTTCTTTCACATGTTCTGTGGTCATAACCACAGGCGAGGCAACAATTCAGATCAGAATTAGAAATCTATCATATTTCTGACTTACTTATTTCTCTTTCTCAGACTTTATTTCTTTGTTTGTATCGCTCGGTAAAGTGAACTCTTTCATTCATCTTCCCACAGAGGGCAGCAGCTTTTTTGATAGTTTAGCCTGCGTTTCTTTTCTGTTCAACACAGCGGCATCTCTTTGACATTTGAAAGCATAACTTGGTGCTGGTATTGGTTAAGAAATACTTGACACTCCTTCACCTATAAATCCAAGATGTTATTGGAAAATATTAACTGGCCTTAAAAGAATGTGTCAAGCTGCTTCATTCATTGGAGATGTGGTTTTGTTCTGTAACTGCAGGATGGTTTATTTATTTATTTAGTTTATTTTACATAACTAAAAGAGAAGTGAGGCGAAAGACAAACTAAATTCAACCAAACAAAACAGGGGGGAAGCCAAGGGAGAGAGAGAGAGAGAGAGACCAGCTGATTACCTCCAGCCTATATAGGCTTGCCACCAGACCAGGTGAACTTAATTTGGTTGATTACCCGACTCCACCCAGCAGGCTCTTTGAGGGAGAGACCTGTTTAGAGGGTCGTCACAGAGTCATAGGCATGAGGATGTGTTGCTTCAATGGATATAAAACAATGCTGCAAAAATGTGGAAAAAACTGCCAAAAAAAACCTGCCTTTTAAACCAAAAGTAGGAACACTCTTGTAGAAAATGTAGAAGTTTCATCCCTTCAAGTGATCTCATAAATTATTTTTTTCTGATGTAAATGAAAACAGCTACATAGCAACATACTAAATAACACAATAAAGCTATAAGAACAACACGATAAATTAAATGTAGGATTTAGACTTAAAAGCTAGTTAAGAACTGAACTCATCGTACACATGTGTATGTCCAACAACCACACTGTTATTTTTCACCAGAAAAAACATAAACTTATATTAAATATTTTAACTTGATAAAATGAATTATCTTGAACTCACTTAAAAAAATAAAGTGTACGTATCATAAGACCAGTGTTGAAACGAGGAAGTCTAAGCAGCAAGCAGGAAGTAGAGTACATTCAGAGGTGACACTCTCTCTGTCTTTTGCCTGCCTTCGTTCACATTCCCTGCCTGTACCTTCTTTCATTCAGCGTACCGTCAGTCACCTCCTGGCCTCTACATTAATCCATACAGTGATAGCAGAGCTCTTATCTGCCTGAATATGTATTGTTCTCCTTTAAAATCCACACTGCACACCGACCTTGCATTCACCTTGCCCAAGTTTTTCTGTTTGTTTGTCATGTGTTTGCCAGCTTATTTAATCCTTGTACTGACCGATATTGTATTGTTGAGTGATGCAGAGCCAGTCCTGCATGTGTGCCATTTACTATGTGCATGTGTGGAGTTTAAACCTTGGTGTCTTTGTATAACTTGTGTCTACTGTTTGTCATGTGGCAGTTGTCAATGTTTGTATCCTTGAATTTATCTTGTAAGAATCTTGTAGCTTTGGAATTGTTGGCACTCTTTTTTTGTATTCCTTCCTCTACTTCTTTTTATCAATTCATCTCTTTATTTATTTATCTTTAGAATAGATTGTTTCATCTCTCTTTTTGTAACTTGACACAAAACAAATTTTCAGGAATTCAGTACTAACTTTTCTTGGGTTAATGAAATCACCCTTTTAAAAAAAGAGTTTGAGATATTAATGTTGAATTTTAAATGATCATCCCCCCATCTCTTCATATGTGTTTCTTGGAAATATACCTTTTTTGTTGTGTTCTTTAGCATGTTGATGATGTTTTTTAACCCCTGCATGATGTGTATAAATTGTGTTTATTCTCTTTGCATATGGATGTGCTAAGGGTATCTTCACCTTGGGATCAAGTGTGTCAAGTGTGCCTTTGTTTGTGGCTAACACAAATATGTTCTGTGTGTGTACCATGGCCCATCTGTGTTTCTGAGTGTGTGTGTATATATATATTGCGTGTTTGGCTCTGTGTGCATGTAAGTGCGGTCCTTTCCATGTGAATGTATGTGCCTGGTTATTTATAATGTGATTGCCTACCGATGTGACTATGTGCATACCTGTGTGTGTGTGTGTGTGTGTGTGTGTGTGTGTGTGTGTGTGTGTGTGTGTGTGTGTGTGTGTGTGTGTAGGTGCATCCACCCAGGACTCAGATGCCATGGAGCCAGAGAAGCAGGTGGACAGCACAGTGAAAATGGCTGGAGTGATCGCAGGGATCCTTATGTTCATCATCATCCTCCTCGGCCTCGTCCTCACCTTCAAACGCAGGTAGGTAATAAACTCAACATCAGGACATAGAGACAGCTTAAAGGTGCTATGTGTAGCATTTTAACAATAATAAATCATCAACACATCCATTTTAGATCTCCACTGCAATTCCCTTAACTCCTAAGATGGTACAAGATGGTTGGTAGGCTCTATCGCACTTTGCGCTGTTGAGTTTCTTTGTGGCGCAAAACAGAAAGAGGGTTGTTCCTCCACAGGAAACTCAACTGAAACGTTCATAGTTTCTGGTGTGAGCAGATGGTGAACCGAGCCAACAACTGATTAAAAAATCTGTGAAAAGATGCCAGCAACAAGAGCACCGCTGGCATTTAGATAGAGGCCACCAATCATCTTTATGACCACTGTATCATTTTGTAAAAGTAAGTACTTGGACATCTGTATGGGTTGATGAATAAAATACTACATTTTGCATCTTTAAACCGTATGACTGAATAGACTGATAGGCAGGCAGATTGATGAATAGACCTCATAATGTCAAGTCAAGTGTCCTCATAGTAATAGTCGTTACATACAAACTCTGTAGGTAGAAATGAATATGTATGAACAGATATACGAACAGATAGGTAGGGACAGATGCTCAGTTTTCCATTTATGGACAGGGGAGAAGGTTAATGTCCTGAGATGAAGGGGATTTCAGTGAAACATGTAACAAAGAAGAACAAATCAGAATTTTAAAATGTTTATGTGTAGTTTCAGAGTCGGTCAACAAAAATCCTTCACAGAGATTAGCATGTATCAAACATTGCAGGTTAAACAGGGATAGTTATGATTGTGAAGGCCACAACCTTCTATTCATGTCTTAAGGCTATATAAAAGGTCAGAATAATGTATTAAATCTGGAGATGTACTTAATCCTCTTTAACCCTTAAAGGCAAAATAAATAATAATGATAGATGTTCCCAGAGTTTAGATATCTAAAACCCAGATGAATTGTATTACTTTTTTTCAGTTAGCAGACAGCTTTCTGTGTATGTGTTAACATGCACACTGGCTTGCCACCATAACCTGCCTTTCTTTCCTTTACTTCTCTAATTCTCTTTGTATCACCTCATCCATTCTGCCATCCTTCTCTACACCACTCTCATAACGCTTATACATTTTGTTTCGCTAGGGCTCACATTTGTTTGATTTTTTTATTATATATATCTTTTTTATTATTGTTTTTGTCAGTTTCTTACTTCAGACCCTCAAACTTTGCTGAGAAATACTCATTTTCTCAAAGTAAAGGAACATTCTTTAGTGTGACTAGCGCAAATAGAAAATCAACCCAATAAAATCAATGCAAATGCGTGTAACAACCACACTATGGCACTTTTTCTGATCTTAGTAATTGAAGCAAAACTAAGACTAGAGCCACAGGGGAAGTGAAATGGACGGCATGAGGACTACTTTTATGAAGACTTCTTTTACAAGCAAACATCAAAATATATGATGCTGTGGATTCAAAATAGCAGGGCTGTTTTCAGAAGCCCTATTGTCATTACTTTTAAAGAAACTTATACTTTTGCTACTTGTTATTGTTTAGAAGAGATTTATTTTCTAGAGCAAGTGTGAAATTCTTTGTATCTTTATAGGTAGCCTGAACATGTTTTTAAGTGTCTTTCATAACTGAACCATTTTCTCAAGGTAAAAGTGTCACAGTCATCATGACAGACAAAGTCATCAGCAAGGGTAAAAAAATTAAATCACTCAAGTATTTAGGTTTATCACATCTCAGCATAGCAGTCGCTTGTTTATTAAGCTTTTCATACTTAAACGGTCTTTGTTTAATGTGGCCTAAGTGGAGCCATTCAAACACACTGAGACAGATAATCTTGCCATTACTTTAATATTTCATCTGAACAAAAAAACAAACACATTTCTTACACTGTGGATTTATAGATGTGAAAACAAATTTAACCACCTGAATAGCTTAAAATGCTTGAAAGAAAAGCTGAATAGCAAAGACTGGCTCATAAGCTGCTAACATTCATGAACTGTCCAGTTCCTTTTTTCAGTGCATGGGAGACGTTATCCTCTCTTTAAAGCAGCAGTGTCCCTCTAGGATCCTTCTACACGTTGCTACTTGTCTCTTTGATCATGAAGGTGACACTGTTCTATAGCGTATATAGGCTACAATATTTTATAGAATCGGGTAGTTTATAGTTTAGAGAATATATATAAACTGAATGAAAGGCAGGACTCAGAGAAAAAGGCACAATTACAAATGTGTCTGCTACTTCAGCACCATGGACAGCGCTATGGATTTTTCACCACACAGCACAGTCAGGCTGCTGATAGATTTAACTTACACAAACCTCAATACGATAAAGGATCATTGAGTCAGGGAGACTATTATTCAACTAAACAACCCCTCTGCCCCTACAGTCTCTCCACTACTAGGGCATGGAGAGGGGGGAAGGCAGGTTAACCAGGGGAATGTATGTTGGTCATTTTGCTTCATCCCCTCCAACTTGCCCACTGTGGTTAACTTTATCTAGTGTGTAGCCTATATATGGTGTGAACCACCAGGGCCAGGAAAAGACACAATGAACCAAGAAGAGGAAAAAAACAAACCTTTTTTGAGCAAGTTACATTTGTCTGAAATGCAAAGAATATAGTACACAGTATCCTGTTCTTATAGCATGTCCATGCCCACGTTAAAAAGAAGTAGGACCTTATATTTAGTCATACAGAAAAGGCAAAACTGTGTATATCCAGGCAGAGTGACAATGAACACGTTTTCTACAAGGAAATAGCTAATCTTCCAACATCCATCTATTATACATCTTTCTGTGCCACATAGCGAAACACATATGGTAAAGCGATATGACATACACAGAGGCCATGCATATGGCCACATTGCTATATGTTACTATGAAACCAAATACTGGCAGTACAATTGAAAGCCAGACATATTATTCTTTGACCACAAACACACAAAACACTTGGGCCTGGCCATACATAACAAGATAAAACGTGTATGCTCAGACTGTGATATAGCAAGGGAAACTGGAACTTACCTTATTGTCAGTCGGAATACAACATTACATCCATTTTAAGTGAGGAAAAGAGGCTGGGGAATCAGAGAGGGCAGAGGGTCAGTTGGCAATGCTAATCAGAAGCTAACAGAGAATATCCCACCACTATAACACCAAGAGGATAAAAATATATATCAGAGCCAGCGGAGGATAATGCCAGGAGTAACACGATATGTATAGGTAGGGACTTTAGTAGAGAATGTAGGTAGGGAATATAAGGGGCAAGCAGAACTGTAAGGCAAAAGGAAAACAGGGGAGGAAGGAAGAAAATGTACAAGGTCTGAAGAATATGAAAAATGAAAACAAGGCAGCACTGGTTAACCTGTGGGTCAAATGCATATGCTAATAAGATGCTAACCAGGCTAACAGGGCATAATATACATAAAAAGGCCAATTAGAGGGCAAACACCACCACAGTGGAGAGAGGAGAAAGAGCAACAATGTAGTAGAAGAACTTAAAGAAAATAAGGAACCAGTGGAGATGCTGGTCAGATGGTCTCATGAACTCAAGCTAACCCAGGCCATCAGTCAGGGTTAAAGGTCCGACACAGGTCAAATAGAGTCATTGAGCAGATATGAAGGTATGACAGAAAGAGGAAATCACAAGGAAGTTGCAGAGAGGAAATACAACTAGAAAGAGAAAGTATCCAATCAAGAGTACAGAGTCGAAGAAGGAGGATAAGTATGAAGGAAGATGAGATAGAGGAAAGACAAATCCAAAAGAAAGTAGTAGAAATACCCCAAAATGTATGAGTAGAATAATACTAAGAGGTAGTGAAGAGTTACGGATACAGAAGAGAGAAAAATAATTGATAAAAGAAGGGCAGACAGATTCGGCCAGTAGGAGGTTTACAATATCATTGATAGTTTTCTGAGGTCATCTATATTTCATTCCACACGCTTTAACCAGTCGTCCGGGTGGCAGAAAAAAATGTTTTTTAAATTGAAAGTGTTTTACATGCCTTTCAGAGCCCATAAATGATTCCATGACAAAACTTTGTCGGGAAGTGAGCATGCACAACTGTCTAATTAATCTTTCAGAACGCTGTTGCGTATGTTCCAAATGGACTTTTTTTTCAAGAAAAAGCCAGGCGATGTTGCTGTTAATGTAATATAGAAGCGAATAACACTGGACATGGCTGAAGTCTTAATGGGGATTCGGTGTTTCTACAGCCAGGTGGCCCCGAGGGCTCAAACAACCAGCACCGGAAGATACACTTTCATGAAAAGGTTGAGAGGAGAATGGATGAATAATTAATGTTCCTGAAGCTCCCTAAACACTGTCTGATTTTTTTGTGTGATGCGAGAGAAGCAGACCTCGACTAAGTAATTGAGAAAAGGTGACGTCTCTGGAACTGCAAATTGATGGAAAAATATGTTATTTAACTTTTTTCACCCCTATTTCCTTTCATCCAAGCTCTTTTAAATTCTGACCCAGGAGCCATCTTTTGTGATTTTATTTTATTTGAGGCTTTCATATTGCTGTCATGTCCAGGTCATCCTTAAAAGAGAGACTCAACCTTAACAAGCCTTGTTGGTTCAGTAGCTTAAACAAAAAATAATAAATGAAATAGCTTGAAGAGAAGTAAGGATATGTAGGCAAACAAGCAAAGTACAGTTTTGGATATGACCCCTGGCTATATGAGGCACAAATCTAATGCAATGCTTCTACTGCTGGGCATGACTCTTGGCAAATCTGCCCCTTTCACATTAACTCTTGTGCTCTGGCCTTGAAGATGCTCGATGATGGAAATGGCTGAATTGTTAATTCCAAAATTACATGAAGGGCTTGGTCTTGACAAGTGAGTCTGGGTCAGTCAGGCCATATTGGAGCTATTTTTATCTACAGTATGCATGTGTCCTGATAACTGGCTCAAAGTCATCCTCATGTAAAAGAATGGATGCATTAGTAAAGGACTGATTTAACATTATGTTGAATTTACTGTATAGATGAGCAGCTAGCAGCAAGAGACATGTTTATGTCAACCTCTTATGGCCATTATCATTTTCAACCAAATAGTGTTTTAAATGATCCAGGAACTAAATCAGGACCTCGCTCGCTGTCCTTCTCATGTTCACACTTTATCTCACTCTTTGTAGAGTAATTCTATGAAACAATGTTTAAATGACATTAACATTGCAAGATGTTCTTCTGCATAGTCGTATTAATACTTCTGACAAATAGTTTTAGTTAGATTCTGATCAAATCCTGTCTGCAACTTCATTAAAGTCCTTAGTTAGTTCTTAAACCTTAGACCGAGGTGTTATCTGAATAGCAACAGGCCTGCCACAGGCTACTGAGGCTGCCTAGTCTGGTATTAATTCCCACCAGAGCTGGGTTCTGTCTACACACTCACACACGAATGCACACACAGGCATATAGTACAGCTAAAGAGCTGCTCAAAGAGCAAGTAAGTGCAGCAGTACAATACAGATGACAGAAAGAGAAAAATCATGTATACACACATGTGCAAAGTAACAGTCAAAAATATGAGACACACATACACCTTCGAATCAGTTTGCATGCAAACACACACAAGATAGATCCATTATGTATGCATGCATACTTACTTAGAGGCAAATTGAAGCTTTAACATTTTGGTTGTGAATTTAGTGGAATAGCAAGTTGTGTGTGTGCGTGTGTGTGTGTGTGTGTGTGTGTGTGTGTGTGTGTGTGTGAGAGAGAGAGAGAGAGAAAGAGAGAGAGAAAGAGAGAAAGAGAGAGAGAGAGAGAGAGAGAGAGAGAGAGAGAGAGAGTAGAATGAGTTTCCCTGTGTGAATGTTAGTCTGCATTGCGTATACATGTATACCTCTCTGCGAGCAGTAATTGTTTTGTATTTTTGCTTGTGTGGCTGGATATAAAATATGAGTTTCATCAAGTCAGAGCCATATCGCCATCTCAGTGTGTGTGTGTGTGTGTGTGTGTGTGTGTGTGTGTGTGGCACGCGCTGACGGCCTGATCCTCCTCCTTAGGCATTTGAAGCCAATATTGACAGGGGTAGAGCCATGGATTGTTACACACATGGGCACATACACAGATTGAGAGAGAGGGAGAACTCCAGATGGGACTGTGGAAAGAGATGGTTTCAAACACAGACACACAGCTCTCGGCCAGATACAGAGCAAATTATTTTTTCTCATATCTCTGGCTACAGTATCCTCAAGAGCAATACAACATCCTATAAAGCTCCTCATGGTTCAGACTAATTTACAAAATGTATTTCTAATTAATTAATCTTAGTCCTGAGTCCTAACAAGAAAAGGCCACCTTAGCTCAAGATGACACAGGAATAGTGGGAAACACAATCACGCTCCCAATTTGTCAAATACTGCCAGTAGGTCAGCAGCCCTCTGCTTAAAAATATAACACTGTAGGTGTCCCTCATCATTTCTTCGCACATGGTATCACATTATCTTAAAAGGAGCCACCTATATCTACAAAAGCCGCGAGTCCACCATGTTGAACCGCCATGTTTCTACAGTAGCCCAGAAGGGACGAACCAAACATTGGCTTTAGATCGGGTTTTTTTTTTTGCAATAGTTTTTCCTTCATGCTTGGAAGGGGAGGGTGTCGCAACAGAGTTTTTAATGGTGGGCACATCCTGGAATAGTTCTAGAGGGATACCTACAGAATCATATTTTGAAGGTGAGGTCCACTGGCCAAGAGACAGCATTTGACAACTTGGGAGTGAGACCGGCTTGTAGTGGTTTTCTTTTTTGTCAGAGATGATTTCCCTTGTAATCGTAAGACAACAGAGACAAGTTTCAAATTTCATCAAATGGTACAGTAAACCATAAAACTGTAATGCTAAAGTATAGATAAGGATTCACATACATAGAGGCTCTATGGCATTATTATTTAGAAATATGAACAATCATTTGTGTGGGCAAAAACAGATACATGAGCCTAAGTATATCACAATTGTTGAATGACTCAGTGTGTCATCCCACCTTGAAAGAACATGATTTTGTTGCAACATTCTGCTTGTACAAGGTAGCTCCCAGTTATGAGTCAGTGAGTTCCATAAGTTATATATATATAACAAAGTTATTTACTTATTGTTTTCTGCCAATAACCTAATTCCTGAAACATATTAGAATATAGTACATAGTTTCTGTAATTACTGAAAGGGATTAGAGAAACCTGGTTGTCAAGGCTAGATGTCTAATGAAGAAAACATTTTTTTGACCATGTTTATTGCCAGGATTCTATCAGTGATTTTACAAGAAATTAACACATGTGACAGCAATGCAATTGGATGAAAGGAAATATAATTAGCTGTATTTTTGTATCTAGGATAATGACATCCAAGGTCTGACTAAAAGTAAAGCGATCCCTAAATTTATGTCTAAATTAGTCAGTTTGCAGAACTAAACAGTGGAATATTTGCACAATAGCTTGTTTCCAGTGATTCCAATGACATGTGAACAGATCGAGGGCAAGAAATAAAAAGCAGAATGGATGAGATGGAAGAAAGTCCATGCTGTGCTGGTTAAAAAGATATTACGAGAGAAACGTACAAACACAAAATCATAACATTTGTTGGACTTGATGCTTATGTTTTGAAAAGGAGCAATTTTTCAACAGAATTGAAAGATGTGCCCTTTCTGACGGGAAACTAAAGTCGTTAAATGTCTCTCTTCAAAGCCATCAGACTCCTTTTGATAAATGTAATGTTACCTCGCAGAACGCAGAAGATGCTGGTCTACCACTGCGTCGATTGGTTAGTTAGTTTGCGTTATTGTGTGATTTTGCTGATCAAAACTAATGTTAAAACAGTCGGATATAATTGCTTCAGTTACTCGTTGGAAAGCGCAGCCGGATGGCAACATAAAGTGGTGAAAATACATATAGCGTACACTGAAAGTGTAGTTGTCGTTTTTAAGTAAATCCCAATCTTGGATTTTTTTCCCCATTTATGAACAGCTTTAATAAAAACTCATTGTCATTTCTCAGTTTCATTAATTTGAGCAACCGTAAACAATGCAAAACAGGCATTTTGAGTTTGTGATTGTGCTTCCAATAGAAAAACACTTCCTGTCCTCTGCAGTCCATGCTTCAGGAACGCAGTCCTGTGCACTAAGGGGAATTGTGTTTTCACTGAGGGCTTAAATGGTCTTGTATAAAGTACTTCAATGGTTTCTTTGTAAAACATTTTTTTCAGTTTGTTTTGCAACATTCATATGAGTGTGCGCACATACAAAGAATCATGCTTTTGTAAGACTTTAAATTGCATATCCATTGCTTTCTACATTGAGGCTGATCTATCCCAGCTTACCAATCACTCTCCTCTGCTAGCTTTGCTAACATCTCAACAACTACAAATGTAACAATAATAAGTACACATCCCATGGTTACATATGTTCTTTTTCCCCATAAGCATCCTGTCGCTTTCCTCCCTTTCTCGAATCCATCCTGAATAAATGTAAATAAAGAAAGATAAGAATCATTCAGTGATGCAGCCGTAAGTTTGCATCTGAATATGCAGTATAACTAAATGTGTTGCTTTGCTAAACAGCAAACAATTGGAGACGCCTCACAGCTGGGAATATACTCCACATTGTTCTATTAACTGTGGTTAAATAAATTCACTGGTTTTCTTTCTGAAGTCTTTTCTAGTGGATACAACATAAAAAAGAAAGAAATCTGAGACAGTTTGAAACAGTAGAATTTTACCATCACTGATTTGAGAATTTTCTCTGCACAATATGGCTTTATGTCCACTCCAACTTCCATTTTCACAGCTGTTGACTTAAACAGCTGAATGTTTTTGTTTTTTTATGTTTTGTGTTTTTTACCATCACCCAACTCTTGTTTTCTTTGAACAGTGTTCATGGGACCCTCTTTGAGAAATTGTTCATGTCACTTAAGAAACTCTGGGATTTCTACCTGTTATAGTCTCCAAGTTTGAAACTTGTCACCTTGATACATCACTTAACAGCACTCTTGCTGAAAACCTACTGAAGTCCCACACACTGGCACACTGTGGTGATTTATGCTGCAAGAGGAAGTCTGCTTTCTCGCCCATACGGACAGGTCTGATCTTTTCATGGCTGCCTAAACTGATAGAAATCAAATTAAATCAGTTTTCACCCTCTTTAGCCTATCACAGCTCATTTGTGTTCACTTTTCTCCAGATCTAGACACAAATTTGTGTGTACTGCTATTTGCACCAGTTTGAAATTCATGTTAGTGGATTAGCAAAAAAAAGGCTGTATAAGTCCCAGCCATGCAAAACAGAGAGAATGGGAGTACAAATGTTTCAGCATTCAGTTCACTGTCAGTATCAGACAGCCGTGACACTAGTTTTGTGCCAGAAAATAATAAAAGTAAGGCTCTTTTTTCCCAGCATGAATTCAGCCTGCGACAAAATGTTTGAGCAATTTTACCATATCTACAGAAAACAACAGGAATGCTGGAACAGAGAGCTGCAGCCTTTCAGAGCCTGGTCTACATTTAGTTTCAGTATGCTCATTGTCAACTGAAAAATAAACTTTTACAAAAAAAAAATTACAGATGAAACAGATGTCTCACCACAACCTCTCTGACTCGAGGCTCACACCCTTTAATGTCTCTCTCTATCTTCCTGTTTCCTGTCTTTGGCTCCATCCCTTCCTGTCCCGTCCTGTACCTGCCTTGCCCTTGCTCCGATAGAGAGATTCACACATGGAGAACTCTGAGCGTGGGGTATTGTATGTTTACTTCTAGACATCAACACATCCACTCCGTTCCTCACTGTGACTCTCACCTGGCCTATTCTGGCTTTCAGTAGTTTTCCAAATGCATCTTATGACTCAGGCTACACCTTGAAAATGGATGTGGTATTTTCAATATGAATGTGATTTAAGAAAAATAAATATTTTTTCCTTTATTAAAAAGGATCAATTTGTTACAATACACAAAATACGTAATTAAAATGTTACTATGTAGTCAACTAACTCGTAAATTACTTAAATTTTCCCACTGAAGTGGGAAGAACTCTTGAGAGAACAGATAATTTGAAATAAAACTCATATTATGCTTGGGACACATTAACCTTTGAACAGTAATAATGTGCTGACAGCGTGCATGTACACGTAGTAATTGCTGTGGCTCGAAATCTCAAAATAGTTGAAAGAGCCACAGAATGTGCTGTCCCAAGCAACAAGATGTTTTGGGAGCAACACACATCCTTTTTCTGAAAGAGTGTGAAAACATTTTAATCGCCGTGGCACACATGTAAGGTCCTGGCTGTTTTAGCACTGAGAAACTGCATGGAGTTTAGGTTTCTCTCACTTCCATTTCACAGCCAGATCTGTGTCACCAAGTGCTTGAAATGTAGGTCTTTCTATTCATTCAAGAATCTAATACAAGCCATTATAGAAGTCCTCATTTATACACTTGTCTTGCATCTTCCCTGTATTAGCATCATTAACATATCTACTTTGTTTTCCTTGATTGCTGAAAATCTGTTATAAGTTATAATGCAGTAATATTTGAGCAGAATATTCAGGTGTAAATGGGACTTTTAAAATGGCTACGTTTGATGTTTGAGGTCATTATTAGTTAACAGTGAAACAAGTTAACTAATATAAGATGCTTTTGGTATAACTCCCCCGGAATATTTCATCATTTCATCATCTGCCATCTGTGCCTTTTTTTTACCTTATTTTTTTGGAAAAAGTGCACGTTTAAAACAAATTCCGAAAGGACCCCATCATCGCTGAACACTTTCATTGCATCAAAATGTACCTCTGTATGGTGAGAGTTGTTTGGATTGTCTGTCTGAAACGTTCCCGGTCACTTGCTTTTGATGCATTGTCAGTAATTACACCTACCTACCTGCAATCAATTGAAAAGAAAAAACTGAAAGTCAGGCAGAGAAACCGGAATATTAAGTGTTCCAGATTCGGCTGCTTTCTATAGTGGGAGCAGGTTTGCATAATTGATTACATTTCATCATAAAGCAAGCAATCACGTAGGGATTTTCAAAAGCGAGAATCGAGCTGCCAGCCGCCCCCAGTATTAGAAAAAGGTTAGATAATTAGTGCAACTTTGTAGGTCAGAAATTATGTTTTTGGCTTCAACAAATATAACAGAGGTGGGAGATTAAGAGGGAGATATGTGGTAATATCTTGCCGAATGAAATGTGATGCTTCACAAATATCCCCACCTACACTGTTCTGGGCGCGAAGACAATCTACTCTGTGCCTGTCATGGTAGCGATCGCTTTGGAGTCAATCTTCTCTAATAAAACCCCATCCTGCTTTTAAAGCTGCTTGAACACTTATCTCTGTGAAATCCCAACATATTTGTTTGTAAATTAGACAAATTGAGTTGTACTTTTTGAAATTTTAAAGGAAAAAAAATCGTATATCACTCAAATGTTGCATTTGGTAATACTATTGAAGATTTGAAGGTATTCTTGTTCACTCTGCAGAAATATGTGTATCGACCAGAGGGGAGTGGGGGGCATAATAGGGATCCGGCCTCACAAGAGGATGAAAAAGTGGTTTGATGTGAATTGAATTTGAGACTGAAATTTAAAGGCATTATTGGCGGTAATGTTAGTTTGGGCAGTCTGGTCAGATAAAATGTCCTAAAATTCACACTGTCTGAAAGGTCAGATAAAAAGGAATATATTTCCCCAACCCAAAATTAATTTAAGATGAAAGAAAGCTGGAAACTTTAGGCAGTTGTTTGATATTGAACTAGTGCTGTGGCCATGGTGGATGGGCTTACATTTTTTTAATTACAATTCCTACTTTCCCAAAATACTTTTATTGAGGAAAGTTTACTCTTAGTCAAAACCTTTTTGGTGTCATTGACCCCCAAATTCATACACATCGGGGCGAAGATGTAGTCTCAGGTATCCCTGTCTGATAAGATTTAGTTATCTTATAACTGTCTGTACTGTAGATTGGCACATTAACTGTGATGAGTGTGAATATTCATTCTTATACTTGGTCTCAATGGGCTGACCTTTAGCCAATGAAATAATGGTGAAATTAAAATATTCCTCATTTTTCTTGGGTTTAATGGTCTGGGGACCCCCTGGGATCTAGAGGGTTTTCCAGTAGGTCCCCAGACCTCAGGTTGAAAACCATTAGTCCAAAAACTTACCTTCATCTAAACTAACAAATTTTAGTTTCTGAGGCCCTAAATCTAGCTTTGACCTTAAATCCAGCTTCTGCTTAAAAGGTGAAACAATGAGGTGGAGACGATTGTTGTTGTACATAAAAGAGAGGTACCATAATCAGATTTTTGAATGATTTTGTGAGCAGTATTTCTCCTTGAGGAAAGAGAGGTTTTGAGGTGCACTGCTGTGACAGTTGATTCATTAGGAAATTACGGGAGTGCCTTGACCCAAAGTTTTTGTAAGATCTCAAATTACCCCCCATCCACTCGACCCAGTCGAAGAAGTCAAGAAATAACTGATGATCCTCCACGCTGAGAGAGCAAAAGGACACTTCCTCTTTCAAGACAATATACTGCACCCTCAGGGGCTCAGTCTATGACAAGCGAATTGAGGCGATTAGTAGCTGATGTCAGGGAATGGACTCAGGCTGGATCCACTGGCAGGCTCTTACAAGGCCAATTGGTCTGAAGTGTGTATTTGTGTGTGCGTGAGTGTGTGTGTGTGTGTGTGTGTGTGTGTGTGTGTCCATGTGTGTGTGTTTGTAGTGGAATTTCAGGCTCCAAATTGGGAAATACACTGTATGTAGACACATGCACGCACATTAGAGGGTCCTGAGTGCTTCCATGCTGACAGATGCTAAACTTATTCACAGATAATTTGACACACTCACAAACACACACACATAAACACACACACAAACACACACTGAGCCGGACTTGACCCTCATTCTGCAGATGTGACACGTGGTTGAATAATGGACTGCTTGCTGAGATAAATGCTTGATGGTCCACTTACAGCACTGTTATAATGGGTGATGGCCAACCATTTACACACACACACACACACATACACACACACACACACACACACACACACACACACACACACACACAGATGTACAAACTCTCATGTATTCATCCCATGTGTAAACTGGTACATGGAACAAGAACTCTTCAAAGACCAATCTGTTAACTTGCGTCCTATTTTCATGGTTCGCTTTCATTCCTGCTGGTTATGATAACATTTTACTCTCCAATTTAATTGCTGAGAACCAGGGATGCACTGCTAGACACAGCTATAAAATGCAGACTATTAGTCAGACAGGTTGTAAACAAAACCGCAGTTTAGCTAAAGCCAAATTATTTCTAGGCAAAAACGAAGGTGGAAACACCTTTTGTCATTTTACTGCTTTGTAAAACTGCTGGTGTTTTACAAGTGGGAGTAGCTCTTTAAAATCTTTGGTAATAACTGTAACATTTCCCTGTCAAGATAAATGGCTTAGACACTATAAACTATGATTCTGTGGATTTGTTTACAGCCTGTCTGATCAGTCTGAGTAGTGATGTTGCTTGCCCAAAAGAACTCCATTATAAAGCAGTGTCTAATGGTGTTGCATCAGCAAAATGTTTTCATAAGCGATTGGATCAAAACTATTGATCATATTGTGTTACCTTTTTTTCAAAATTCAGTTGTCCAAATCAACAATTTCAATTCAAAGCAAATTGTAATTAAAAGCCAACTGTGGAACACTATTAAACCTATTCAATGTGATTTTGCATGCATATGCAATGTGCTATGTATTAATGTTAATGATAAAACACACCTAGTCCTACCACTCCTAGTAACACATTCTTAATCTCAAGATACATTCAGCATTATCACAACCCCAATGCATGTGTATCTATTTAAATATTAGACAGTTATTATCTGCTTGCACAAAGTTAAATTTGTCTTCAAAAACATGCCTGTGTTTGCGGATTATTCACTTCCAATTGTCTTTCTGTTGTTAAGTTTGATAAAATATCTATAATTCGAGTCAGTCGCTATTCAGAAAATGCTGCACTACAGTTACTAACCTGCCACTTTTAATAGATAGGAAATCTTCCCACCACAGAAAACTAATATGTTTTGACATTATGGATTCATAATTAATTTTTATCTTGCATTCATTAAAGAGTATGTCCATACGAATATGGGATTTTGACATCTGTCTTGTAACAGAGCGCTAATTAACTACTGTAAATTATGAAAACAGATGAAAATGTCTTTTATTTTAAACCTTATTATATTCATATGTTATATTTACACATTTAACAAACTTGACAAACAACATAGATCAATCAACAGTCAACATTTCTGAACATAATTGTACTGCTGCCCAGTGAGGACCTGGGAGGGCTTTGTTAAAGAGTATATTGACGAGAGAAGGCAAGATTCCCCTCATTTAGATGTCCTGCCACTCCTCCGCGAGCTTCTCTTCAACTAGTGTGTTCATGTGTTCGTTAACATACACACATTTGTGTTCTACGAATCATGTCTACAGAATTGGCTGTAATTATGTGCTAATAAGCCACGTTGACAGCATGCACATGCAAACATGTGTCACTACGGAGCCTTATGTTCATGTTTGTGTGTTTGTGTGTATACGTGACTGCATATACAGTACATGCCAGCCTGTGGGCGTATGTCAGTGTGAAGATGACAGATTGTTGATCTGCATGCATGTATGTATGAGAGAGAGAGAGCGGAGTGTGTTCATGCAGTAGGTGAGATATTATTCATTCAACTC